TGCCTCTTGGGTGCCGCCTCTTGTGTTTGTATATCTTCAAGAGTCCTTTAGCGCCGAGAGGTTGATGTTTCGACCAATCAAAAAGAGGTGGAAGCTGCCTCTGAGGTGGAAGGACAGTGATGGGCGGCGCGAAGGTTTAGACATCGCCTTTCTTCTGAGACCCTCAGATATCAGTCGCGATGTTCCAGAGAGATTCAAGGCATCCGTTGAACAGAAGCTGTTCAGATACTCAGTTTCCTGTCTTGCATCAGCCCCAGGTTGTGCTGTTGGAATGAGAAGTTCGGAGGAGTCCCCCTGAAACAAAACTTCAGTGGAGACAAGTGTGAACTTGCTACTAGTGTTGCTTTAAAGGTCCAAGAAGACAGGCGATGTGTTCGAAAGAGGCCAGGTGACCTCAGGCGATCTTGGGCACTTTCGCCTTTGGAAGTGTTTTTATTTCTTTTGATGTGCCTCCAACGTCCCACAGGTTCCAATCTTCAATCCAATTTCGCCACTCATTTAGGGAGACCGGACTGCTTTGGGGGATCTCCAAACTTGGTCTTGCTCTTGACGTCTTATTGCGGCTTCTAGATCTTGTTTATGCTGCTCTCCAGGTTCAATTGAGAAACCAATGCTGTTCTTGTGGCTCCAAGCCCGCACCATGTATGATGATGGCAAGGAACCATGAGAGCTCACGGTGCTTTTTCTTCGCGAAAGCCTGACGAGTTTCCGGAAATTCACGCACCCGAATGAACGAAGCTGCGGCGTACCCGAATCTCCACTTCTTGGACCTGAGCGTCGCAGAAAACGATCGAAGCAGTTCAACGATCGAAGCAGAACAGCAGTTCTGTTGTTGTTTTGGACAACGAATCTCATCGAAGCGATGAACTTCAAGGGGGGAATTCTTCGACGCTCAGACACTGGTTGCTATGACCATCGTTGTTTTTTGCCTAAGACGATGCTCGTGAGTCCGGGCCTTCGACGGTGACGCGTGGCTCACTGGGTTCACTTCTCGAAATTCGAGAGATGCACTTCCGGTACGAAGAATCAGTCAGTTGTAAGTGAGTTGGAACAAGCATCCTCACCATCTTGAATGAACATGCACACATACTTGTGTTCACCACAAGTCAGCTGTTTGGATTTCAGAAGATCGGATGGGGCCTTGGGAGGACATCTCCCAAAGATATGATGAACTCAGTCACTTGGTCTAAGTGAGTCCGGCGCATCAATTAGAGTTGCTTTCTCATTGTTTGAGTTCGCAACGGCTGATTTCTCGTGGTCAGACATTGCATGGAGGCTCTTGACCGACGGAAGTTCCATCACACGCATCACTACTACACTGCCCTCTCAGAATACATCAAGAATCTCCATCGCCCTGTAGAATTTGATTGATAATACACATTTACTGCTTGCGTTCACCACGAGTCAGCTGTCTTGCTTTCAGATTGGATGGGGCCTTGGGAGGCCTGCACGGCCGAGGATATGATCGTCCGTTTTCCGGACTGCAGGTGTCTTGAAATGACCGGAGAAGGAATCAGTTTCTTGAACCGATTAAAAAATTGCTGCCTATATTTAGCACTGATTTGACAATCATTTGTCGAGATCAGCTCCATTTGTTGGCGCGGGATTCGCAGATTCCTTGGCCATCTCTCCATTCTGGACACGTGAGCTTCAACAATAGCTTCACTGTCAGGTTCTCACATGTTTGATTCAAACATTTGGTGCAATAGACTGAGATTCATGACATGAATCACCTCGAAAGACAGGACGAAAAGAATTCAGGGGAAGGGAGTGAAGAAGAGAGGGAGAGCTGCGGAAGCGTTTTCCTGTTGCAAAGACCTTTTGCCTGAGATCGGGATGGACAGGCTAAGTGGCTTTCGCGAATTCTGCATCTCCACAGTGGCTCTCTATGGCTCCGGCCCACTCGGGTTTCCTTTCCTTTTAAGTATATAGTCCTTTTCGTTGAAGCTTCCTGTTGGGATTGACGAACTGACAAGGGTGGAACGATCGACGCTAAGGACCGCAACAAAACCAATACAAGCCAAACACAAGTCAACGATGTTTTGGAGTCTCCTGCAAGATTGCGAGATGATTGCAGAAAGTCTTAGCTAATCAGCTAAGCAGCTAATCATGTGGTCCGACTGCTTGGCCACAAGTAAGTAGAAGAGATCGGTTGCTTGCAGCGTACGGCGTATGTCATGTTGTCAGTGTGGGCTTGGACGGCCGTGCGATGTTGCCATAGGGCCTGCCGGCTCAAGATGAGGAGAACAACGTCAGGCAGGTAGATCAGATAGGCCGGTCGAACTTGCCATGCCGGGTGGGCGGCGTGTCTCGTTCTACGGGCACGTGCACCCCCACCGAGGTCCATGCCGAGTGATCGTTGTGTCGTTCTGCGGGGCGTATACCGAAGACTGGGCGATGTTGGTCGACCGGGCGTATAAGCTCCAAGAGGCCGCAGAAGGTCTAGAAGACGCGTACAGTGCAGGAAGCACCGCGTGCGTGTTCTTGCCCCCCGGCAGCAGCCTGTTCGGCTTGCATGCACCGAATACCCAAGATGAAGATGCAAAAAAACGCAACGAATGCTGGTGTTTTGCGCTGTATGGCGCATTGCAAGAATTCGGCTGCCGGTGGTTTGCAGAGTGGTGCAAACAGATGCTCAAGGCGGCTGAGAACGGCCATACCCTGGTGGTTGTCTTTAAGGCATCCCAGAAAGGCGAAGGCATGGACGTGGAATGGCCACCGCGGATTGCCTGCACGGCTGCAAACAGAGGCCTGCCCGGTCTAGGGGTGTCCCAAAGAGGTGAAGTTGCCTACATGAAGAAGCTGGGCTTCACCCTGGAGATGGAGGATATCCACGAGTTCCGGCAGAGGTTCCTAGGGGAACTGAAGGCGGAGCAAAGCGTGCGGGCAGAGCGAGGTGAGGCGGAGCAAGACGAGCTGAACCTTCAGGTGGAACAGCTGGAGCTAGAGCTGCAGCTGAAAGACCTGAAGGTCACGGAGGAGAAGGTGTGGAGATACACACACATGTCACACGTCGTTTTTGTTGCTGGGAAAACTGTGTTTTCTTTTTGCTGAGAGTCTCAC